CGCGGGGTACGCGGGGCGCGAGCGCGAGCCCGGCGCGCGCGGTGTGGCGCGCTAACGCGGGCCGCCGCGAAGCTAAGCAAATTTAATGTTTGAAAGAGAAATAATGTCAATGGACTTTATTTCGTTTTTAAAAGGGTAATAATGTCAATTGACTTTATTTCGCACCAGGGTGGGAAATAAAGTCAATTGACCTTATTTCCGTTGATCTTATTACCTGTCACCAAATCCAAATTACCAGCCGACTATATATATCCGGAGATAGCACTGGCTACTTCTTTCTTTGTGGTAATCAATAATGCTTATCTTGAAGATAGAGTTTTATTTTCGGGTTGATTCCCAACTAGGTTTTGTACACCCATCTTAAATGCCTGAATATTTTCTTCGTGAACGTGGTTAAGCTCAAGTGGAAAGATATCTACATACATATGTACATAAATATTCGTTTTACAGTAAATTTCAGCAAAAACACTAAGATTCGGACCCAAATAATCCCGCCCAATTTGCATGAAAAATCCGTACATATGTACTTATTTCCGAAATCAAATTTGCTAGATATCAATATCAAAAGTTGCTATGGGCACCCCGAGGTCAGATGAGCCATTTGCGAGATATACTTGTTCGCGTTTGCGTAAAGTCATTGGGATGACCGACTATTGGTCCCTAGTCTCTATGCACTGTACTTCGGATGTAAGAATCAGGAGATGATTTCGAATTTAGCTGCCGTTTAAGCCCTTGCCTAAACTCCTCCAGATTGCGTGACGGACAACAGCCCTATTTCAGAAAATGAAGCCTAAATTCTTAAGCAAGTAAAGGGAATGTATTTTTGCCTACAATTCGTATGGAAACGTTTAACAGTGCTACACCCATTTTTATCTACACCAGTACAGCCCAACAACCATTGTTGTTGAAATCGAATAAGCGTAAACGTTTACAAACGTTGGCGTATGAGTCATCAACGTCAACCAGACGAGACACAGTGTTTTCGCAACGTTTTAGATGAGTACATAATTTGCCGGCGGTGAGCACCAGTTGAGTAGCGAAACCACTAGTGTGAACAAATAAAATCAGTGTGCATACAGTAAAACAAATAAATAATCGTTGATCAAGTATAACCAAAGTTGATGTGCAAGAATAATTAGCAGGTGAGAATAATATAGAACTTAATCAAAGTTATCGATAAAATGTTTCAAAGCGAGAAGCATCCGAAAAGGTCGTTATGGGTGAGCCAGAGGCATTCTGTAGCCACGAACCAGCGCTAGATGCTTCAAAAGAAACTACAGATGAGCATGAAATGCTTCAAACTGCTATCAAGAAGGCGTGCATGGCACAAATGCTACTAAACGAGGCCATCACACGCCTAGAGGATGGCGAAAAAGAGAGAAGTATACACAAGTTTAGTTACAACTCAAGATCTGATCAAGGCTCCGGCTTAAGTTCCACTTGATTTGACGCAGCAAGCAGGTAAACCAACAAAAGGGCATCATGTACGTGAACTTCATCACAGACGTCTCAACCGGCGTGGACGTGATTGCTCACACTCAAGGTTCACATTCACGCTCTCGTGGTCACTCACGTTGTCGTTCACATGGGCTGTTATTTGTTCATGTTTAACCAAAACTTACAAGTTTTAGGGTTCGCGTACGCAAAAAACTTGCAAAGTAGGGGAAATTGAGAGAGCAAAGTGACATTTCATTTTGAGGGGAGCTGCTGGTTTCTGCTGGAAAAATTTTTGCCAACAGCAATTTGCCAACAGGAAAACAGCTGATCAAAAACAGCTGGTTGGCATTTACGCAAATCATAAAATTGAATTTGATGGTTTGGAAGTTAAAAATTACAAAATGCGACTAATTAAACTTGTAAGAAATAAGTCATTATTTGTTTAATCAATAAACTGTGTCAGTATAACGCTTTGTGATGACTTTTCGTACGTTTTAAATTTTACACTTTTGAATGTAAACAAAAATTATATCAGCTGTTCGTCTAACTTGCAAGTTTCTGCAAATTTTCTGTTCGCGTACTATTTTGGATATTTCTCTCTTGTGAGAGAACAGATGACATTTCGCCGGAATTTGGCAGGAATTTGATTTTAAACAAACGCACCTATTTTCGCGATCACCAATTGTGTCAATACAAGCGGTTTCTTCGTGGCATCAGCCTCCCAACAGTTCCCCTTATCCAACTATGTCAACATCACCCGCGATTTGTTACTAGACCGGAAAATACTTGTTCTCCACATGTAAGTCGAAAACTATGTAATCGTTCGGGATCTCGTTCACATTCTCACAATGATCATGGTAAACATGGAAACAAGACTGGAGAGAAGCAAGATAAGCATGATCATGGAAATGCTAAGGAAAATGGTGACAGTGAGAGCCGTCATGATCAAGCACATGGGCGTCATTAGACGAGGTCGCTTGCACTCTCGGGATCACTCTCATTCACGCAGCCATTCACAGGATCCATTTCGCTGTTTAAAAGATATGTCTGGAGTTGTTCACTCTGGCGACTTATCAGGTAGACTTTCGATTGTATGTTCCTGTTTTGGTGCCATTTCAGACTTACCACCACCTTGCATGCCAAGCGGTTTGGAATATCGACACCAAAGAGATCGACATATAAACAAAATTTTCAAAATATATACAGTGCCGAACAGAAGTATTGGCACAGTGAATTTTTCGCAATATATGCAAAGTTCTTTATTATAATTTATTTTCGATAATTTTTCATAAAAATATAGTTAATTTAACACCAGAAAACGTAATAATAAAATCTCTAAACTTTGTGCAAAGCTCAGGAAAATTTAAAATTTCCAAAAATCAACGCGATTTTCTAGCAACTTTAAACTTGCACTTTGTTATACTAAATTTGAATGGGCTATAAAACTGCATACTTCGAATTTTTCTAAAAGATCTGAATAAAAAGTTGCAAATTAGTGTGCATATTTAATGAATTTTCCTGAGTTTTGCACAAAGTTTAGAGATTTTGTTATTACGTTTTCTGGTGTAAAATGAACTATATTTTTATAAAAAATTATCGAAAATAAATTAGAATAAAAAACTTTGCATATATGGCGAAAAAGTCACTGTGCCAATAATTTTGTTCGTCACTGTACATATAGCAAATAAAAAATATTTTAATAAAATCAAAAACTATGTACATATTACTGTTTCATTTAAAATCGATAATTTATGAGGTATGCACTGCGACCTAATGATCTATTGTGCCCCAATCAGCACCATGGGGTTCCTCTTTATTTTGTTTATCTTTCTAGGTACAAAATAAAGGCATCTACCAGGTTGCTACCAGGGTTTAAAAATTTATATTTTTTTACAATAAAACTCACCAAAATTCGTAAAAATATTGACTTTGCCCAGCCATAGCCCAGCAGGCCTACAAATTTACATGAATAAGTTTTAATACGCTGAGTTATAGTTAGAACATAGATGAGGCTGTGGCGAATGTAAGGGCCGCCTTTTGTGTCATCTTTCATAAGGCTTGTCTGCCTTGCCCACCCCTTAGCCGCACGCACTCCTGCCCCATGGTGCAGTGAGAAGCTTCAGAAGTTTAGGACTAATGCAAGGGAACTTTTAAACCAAACCTTCAAATGAAGTGCTAAGATGGACTGGAAACGCTACCGCTGCCGACAAAAGAAACACGAGCAGCTAATTCGTTCTTCGAAAAGAGCTTCGTTTAAAGAATACCGCAGTGGTGTTGATACTTTGAGTCAAACAGCTAGGCTAGTTCCAAAACTAGGAATCTCTAGAAATTTTGATGTACATACTTAATGCAGATGGAGCTCTCTGGAATGTAGGGATCCTTTACACCAACCCTAATGAGGAGGATTGGTATACCGATGGATCCAAGCTGGAAAATAAAAAAACTGGGGCTAGCATATTTGAGCCGAACTTCAAAAAACCTATACCAAAGGTAGCAACTCTACCATCTTTCAAGCCGAGATCCATGCAATAAAAATCTGTGGTAGAGAATGCCTCAGAAGAGACACATCCACGAAATATATCTGCATTATGTCGGACAGACAGGCAGCACTACTAGCACTGAATAATAGGTTGGCGCTTAAACAATATGTTAGTGCTTGGCCGAGCTGAGACTGAAGTCCCATATAATAACCTCTAACCTAGGCGCCAAAACACACAGTTTTACGGATGGATACCTGGGCATGGGTGACATGATAGCAATAAGTAGTAGCATATCTGGCGAAGCAATGAGCTACTACAGTGTGTCACAAAGTGTTCAAAAAGCCTTGCATAGAGTGTTCAGGGCAGAGGTACGTACGCCAAGCGATTTATCTGCCCTTCAAATGAAGCTTCAAAGAAACTACTCAATTTAGGCAGAGAGGACCTGAAAACTCGTGACTGGGTACTACACGAGTCCCTTTTCGCTGAGTAAAATTAATCTTCCGGACACAAACGCCTTTCGCTTTTGCGAAAAAATGCCAGAGTACATTATATGAATGTGACGCTCTCGCTAAGCGCAGATTAGCTCACTTATAGGCGACATACACGGTGCGTCTGACTCGCGAGTCATTTGTGTACGTGTTGACTCGCCTTCGAATACACACAGTTGAATCATTCAGAGTCATGCCAAGAGTCATGTCGGTGTAAATAACACATATTCATTTTCACAAACATCCAAACCGACTCGCGAGTCACACGCCTGGTGTATGCCGCCTATTAGATGGTGCTACACTCAATCCCTTCAATTGATGATTGATTGATCGCATCTTTGGCCGCGGTCGAGATCGTGGTATTTATGGCCCTTAATATTAATAGTAATAATAATAGTAAATATAATAATAATAATAAAGGGAGTTCAAGGCTTTAAAAATTATCCATTTTGCGACAGTAAATCGGAATCAGACTGGAATGAAACTTCTTATATCTTAAAATTTTATTTAGTTCAACGATATGTATGCTGAATAGCTTAAAGTTAATATTTGCATTTTAGTAATTAAACCATAATTATTTCATTTTATGCAAGGTATGTACTAAGTAAATACAGGAGGAATTATCGATTACATCAAAGATATAAATTAGTATTCAAAGCAAATGTTTTTCCAAGAGGTCTTGAAAGCCTACAAAGTCAGAAAAATTGCAAATATTTCACCTTTTATACTTGCTAGCTCTTTCGGTCATTAGTAATGAAACAGCTTCGTTAGTTTATCTTTTAAGATATACGTGCGTAAAATGTTAGTCTTCCGCACCCAGTGCATAGGCTGGTCTACTACCAGTTTTCAAGTAGTAAATGCCACGTGCGTCCATTGGTACAGGATCGCCCATCAGTATCTTGGCACCAGTACAATTTCTACCGATCAGCTGCTCCAACGATGGACATGGCGTAGCGTAGAAACCCTTTTCGCTGTGTATGGATTCCGCGAAATACTCATAAGACCGACCGTGGCTACAGCCAGCTGTAAAGAGCAAAAAGAAAAGCAAAGTTAACAAAGAAGTATTTTAAAACGCGACATATTTTCTACTGTTACTCACTAAAGATTTGTGAAATCTCTGTACAACCTGGCTGTGGTGCTCCACCGCCATTCGGGTAAAAGTCTACCAAACCAATTGGACCACGAAATCCTAAAATTCCGCCGCAGCTGTGTATGACGTCCACAAAATCAGCGTCCGATGGATCTAAGTGATGTTCGGGACCGCTGCAATTTTCAAAAGCTGGCCTGGCAGGATCAAGACCTGTTCGTTTTTTTTTTGGATTAAATTTTTATGTATGTACTTAGCTAATATTCAGCGAAAAAAATGCATTACAACTCACCTGTGATTCTCGCTACGCGATATTTGGTATATGAACCAGCATAGCCCATTATATGCGCACCTAAGCTATGTCCAATCAAATGTATACGCTTCGAATCTGCATCCTTCTCCTCGACAAGCAGATCGATTAGTTTGGCCACAGCTCTGCCCACTTGCACGGTGTAGCGGGCGGGTTTTAAGTAGTAAATATTATCCGCTTGGTCGCGCCAGTTGATTGCTGGAAGAAAATATAAATTCTATTATTTTTTTTTTTCTTGATTGGAAAGTTTTTGTTATCCCTAGCGGCCTAATACCAAGAAGTCTGTAAGTTTTTTTATCATATGACCTACGCATAATCTTTGCAACTCAACAGTCCTGTGTACGCTGCTATATCCTGTCTGGCTGGCACTGCATGAAAAGTTCTTGTGAACATTTGATTTCCTATAGAGTAATTAGTACGCCCGTCGCTACTCTTGGCATCCACCTGAACACCATCTTTAGCTAAGTCGTCATATTTTACAATACCATTGTGTCCTAGTAGCCAATAAAGGTGGACGGTTAAACTTCCTTTTGCCTTCCTACAATCTATGACGAATAGTAGAGTCTTATTGACAGCCTGGTGTAAAAGTTTAATATCAAAGAGTAGGCGAAAGACCCCAAGTACAGTTCAATATCGATTTACATGTATACAGTGTCGCCGATGCCTTTTTTTGAAAGTTTGCTGCCCACTAAAACTCCGAGGTACTTTGCGCTTGGCTTTGATAGTAGACTTAGATCTGCTCCACACTGACAAGTACCAAGTCCGACCTCTGCCCGTTAACCGGTAGTCGTCCTTCCGTAGCACACTAGCTGATGGCCTTCGCCATCCGGTTTGCCAGAGAGCTTAGGGTAATCGGACATTTGCCGTAAGCTGTTAGTATAAATGTTCCACCTTCTACTTCTGTCAGTAGTTAGTTAACCATCTGGTAAAGCTTTCTTCGAGGTATTGTTAAACCCTCCAGCTATAGCTATAAAGACTACCTTAGGGTATTCCTCATTTCCAATAGCTTCTTCAACCCGTCTAACGATGCTGTGCAGAGCAGTGCTCGGAATCTGGGGCACCTGCTGGGAAGTGTGAATTGTGCTGGCAACTTCCACCGAGGTCCTATAATTAGTCCAGAACAACTATCTGATAATTCTAGTTCCGGAGCTCATATCTAGGACGTTTGGACAAGACCTCGATTGGGAAAAAGTTTCACCAAAAACTAAAGGTACAATTGAACTTTAATCCAACTTAGAAGCGGCTCCAGAGCCGAAATTGGTTTTATCTTAAATGATTCTATGTATAACCGAGGTTAGCTTTTGCGGTTTGTTGGAGTATAGTATGGCAATAGCGTGATTGGAAAACAATAAAGCTGCTGGAGCTGTCAGCCTGCCAGTTAAGCTATTCAAGCACGGCGGCGAGGTGTTGATAAGGTGAATGCATCAACTCTTGGTCAGAATATGGTCAGATGAACACATGCCCGACGACTGGAAATTTAGTGTGCTTTGCCCAATCCACAAGAAAGGTTACCCCGCCATTCGCGCCAACTACCGCGGGATCAGCCTTCTAAGCATAGGTTGCAAGGTATTATCGAGGGTATTGTGTGAAAGACTAAAGCCCACCGTCAACGAACTGATTGGGCCTTATCAGCGTGGCTTTGGACCTGGCAAATCTACCATAGATCAGGTGTTCACAATACTCCAAATCTTGGAAAAGACCCGCGAGAAAGGGATCGACACTACTACCTATTTGTTGACTTAATAGCCGTTTTCGATGGCACTAAAAGAAGTCGCATATACGCCGCGATGTCTGAACTTGGCATCTTGAATTTGGCATCGAAACTGATAGGGCTGTGTAAAATGACGTTGAGCAATGCCATGAGCTCAGTCAGCATTGGGAAATATTTGTCCGAGCCGTTTGCTACCAAATGGGGTTTCAGAGAGGGCCACTCCCTTTTATGTGATTTCTTTAATCTGATGTTGGACATCATCGGTAACAAACACCACGAAGTCTGTTCTGCCTTTACCAAGTTGGATTAAGAAGCAAAGCGAAAGGGTCTGGTTGTAAACAAGGACAAGACGAAGTATCTCCTGTCATCAAACAAACAGTCAGCACGTTCGCGCCTTGGCACCCACGTCACTGTTGACAGTTACAATTTCAAGAAAGTGGAGAATTGTCTTTGCTTGAGAACCAGCATTAACATCGATAATAATGTCAGCATCGAAATTCAACGCAGAATCATATGGAGCTTGGCTCTTGGAGTATTCGAGAGAGAGATTTTGCGGAAGATTTACGGGTCTTTACGCGCTGGCGACAGCAAGTACCGCCGACGATGGAATGATAAGGTGCATGAGCTTTACAACGACATGGACATAATTCAGTGTATTAAGATACAGCGGCTCCGTTGGCTTGGCCATGTCATTTGAATGGACACCGATGCTCCAGCTCTGAAAGTATTCAACTCGGAACACGCTGGTTGTAGAGGAAAAGGGAGGTCCCCACTGCGATGGAAAGACCAATTGGAGAAGGACTTGGCATTTCCAATTGGCGACATTTAACACCGACGGGAAACGACTAGCTTAGGCGGTTAGAGCGCCAAATAAGAAGAAGAAGAATTATAGTTTGATCCTTTTTTTTGGATTTTTAGAGACAGCTTTCTGGCAGTCGATCATATTAGCCTCATACCAAGTATCAAAATATGCAAGCTCTTTCGCCCAAAAGTCGACCCAAGTTTGGATTAGGATTTTTTCAGTTCACAATGGGGCGCTAATTGGAACACCCTACCATGCTCAGTGGTTTGTTATAACTTCTTATAGCGTTCAACCAGAATTACATTTGACCTTCATCCATGTAATCTCACTTAACCTGTATATAAACTTACCGAAAATATTCAAATTCCCACGCATTGCATATGCGCCACGTATAGATTGTATGGAATCACTGGTGGTGCTCGATTTCCAGCCATGCACCAAAATTTTCGTATCCAAATCAGCATTGAATTTCCCCGCCAACTCTTCCCAAGTATCGCGCTTTTGACGCGTATGCGCGGCTCCTTGCCTATTGGCATAATAGTTAACTGATATTTGAGCTGTCGCAGGGGCATCGATATTACCACTGAAACCGAGTTTTTTTCATTACTATTACTTGTACAAAATATTCGTAATTCATTTTTGAGAAAATTTACCCATCAAAAAGTTCCACATGAACAAATTCAGGCAAATCATCCTGTTGGCTATCCTCTGGTGGTTCAACTAGGTAAGCAATATGCGGTTTGCCATCGCCATCAGGCATCCACATCCACGTTTTACCATAGTCCTCCTCTTTGTGTGCAATCTCTGCATTGTCGAGTGCAAAAACTAGCAGAAAATTTAATGAAAGTAACAGCAAAACGATTCTCATTTTCCCGTGTAGCCGTGTTTTTGTCGTTCGCGGCGCGAATCAATTAACCAATTTAACTCTAAACAATTCATACCTTTTGTGTTTAAATGGTTAATTTTATGTTAAAACATTGTAAAACATGCAATTACTTTTATCGGCTTGTAAAACAAACAACAACAAAAGGCTGCAGGCGGAACCCGATTTCCGGATTATGCATCCGCCACCTGCTGTTAAATAGGGTAGATAAAAACGCCTAACACTGGCACGAAACCAAAAAAGAAAAACAATTATCGCTACCAGTGGCGGATTTATCGTAGAGGCAACATAGGCTGAAGCCTAGGGCGGCAGAATTAAGGGGCGGCAAAATTTAAGACAGCTAAATTAAAAGAAAAAAATTTATTTGGATTCAGCTGCACTTGAAATTGTGTTTGTGTCTGTAAAATATTATTAATGATTCATCTCATTCAATACAATTCAAAATTAGAATTACGCTGCGAATTTTTCCTTAGTATAGCAGTCGTTGAAATTTCCATTTAACTTTCATTCACGCGGCTTAGAAACCTGACGGCGCGCCTGCGCGTGACGCAAAGAAACAGCCGACACGCTGCCCCGAGAACGAGAATCATCTAAAAGGTTACCACACTTGACAACACTGCCGAAAAACGAGCGTGAATTTTCGAGAAAATTCTTGATTCCAAGCCCACCAGTTTTTCATAAGTGTATCATAACGTGAATAATCTGAAGGTCAGCTTCGCGTGAAAAACTATCTCAGATCTTCATTGAGCGAAAACAAACTGAATGCTCTTGCGTTGCTGACTATAGAGTCAGATTTGTTTCTATCTATCGATTGTGAAGATATTATCCGCGAATTCGCAGCTGAAAAATCAAGACGTAAAGAACTGTGGAAAAGAAGTGTTTGAAAGAGGGTTTTTGTTGAATACCTTATCCATGCTGATGTCGAATTTGTTAATTCCGTTATGTATTTCATTATTAACGAACTATATTGTAATAAAGCACTGACAATAACAATCATTTTTGATATATATATATATATATTTTTTTCGTGAAAAAAGGGCGGCAAGTTATGAATTGCCTAGGGGCGGCAAATATTTAAATCCGCCACTGATCGCTACACTTTGCTAAATTTAACAACAATACTCCCGCATGTGCATACAGACTTACAACTTAGCTTTAAAATAAAGCATTGCTTATCTTTTAATTTCATTACTTTTTTCTGTTCGCCAGCTCCTCTGTTACTGAACAGCTCTGTAATTCAATGCGGAATTATTATAAATATTTTTTGTGACAATCAGACTTCTCAAGGGCGTGAATCATGGCGATAACCCTCGTTTTAAAACTTTAATAAAAAATCGTGTATATTCGAGCGTAGTTTTTGTTGTTTCTCCTAACGAAATGAAAACGGAGAGTTCCAAACCTTTGCTTGGAGACAAACAGACATATCTTTACGTGAGGCTGTGCATTGCAGGCGTCCCTTGTAGGTGAGTGTCAGGAGCAAGAACGTCTCCCCAAGGTTCCTTTACAATAAGAAAAATAAACAAGGAATTGACCGACTGATTTATTTACGATTCCAAATGAAATTTAGGAAATCCAAGAGTTCCACCTCCGTGTTCTCTACCAGACTACAGAAGAAGTTATACCTCAGGTGTTGGAGACGCTTCCTCTGCATGCCCAGATATTAACCGTGAGGACACCGGCAAAATCCTCTAAGGCCTCACGCATAAAGAAAAGTTATTTCTGTTTGGACTGTCATAACGATTTCGAAAAGCAAATGACGATTTTTTCTCTGTGTGCAATTTTGGCTAGCATTCGACTTTGAAACCAGTTTAGAAAAGCGACTTAAAAATATATCTATATATTCATAATAACACTTGGAGCAAAATTAAAAAAGTTTAAAGATTAATTTTCTAACCTAAGGGTGGAAGGGTATCTTATGTATAGTAAAAAAGTTGAAAGATTAATTTTCATACCTAAGGGTGGAAGGGTATCTTATGTCAAACCCAATGACTTCGGGACAATAAGCGTAACGTCCTTTCTTCTTAAAACTCTAGAAAGACTTCTCGACGCCCATATCCAACAGCGACTTTCGTCAGATGACGTGTCGGAGTGTAAGCATGCTTATTCTAAAGACAAATCAGTGGACACTGCGCTGCATGAAATTTTCTCCAAAAATCAAAAAGGTCTCGCATTTAAGGAATTTACCTTTGGTATCTCTCTTGACATAGAGGGCGCCTTTAACGATATGCTTCCAAATGCAGTTGTAACGCCACAACGCTTTCAAGTGGGGCTGAAGTGGCCTCTGTTGGAACTTATAAGGCTTGTTCTTGAGAGATGAACTATCTTATCAGAGTTGGGGAGGCGCGTCCATAACCAGGCATCCATTAACAATAAAAGTAATTTCTTCCTGATTTTTTTAGCTTTTTTTCGGTGCTCTCGAACTATTTAAGGATTCATCTTCGGTGGCTTTTAGGATTTATTCATAGCATTTCGAGATTTCTTCGAAACTATTCGGGATTCTTCTTTTTTATCTCTCGACATTTTCGATATTATCTACACACCTATAAGGTTTTTTCGGGAACTTTCCGATGCAAAAGCAAAGAAGGCAAAAATTAGCTATTATTCTTTGCTCAAAAAATATCCAGATATTTTGATTTCAATTTTTGCGTTAAAAAGCAAAAAATAATAGATTTTTCTTGCTAAATTATTACATTTTTCTGCTTTAATTATAAAATGCATAAGCACTATAGTGCTAATCATAATTATATGACACCCTCATGTTGATATGTATTGACTATTTAATTTTGCAATATATAATTTCAGGGCTTTTTCAATTCAATTTTAGTACAACAAAGTAAAAGTTTGGAGTTGCTACAAGCTACCATTGAGCAAGTTAAATAAAAGCTTGTAAGAACAAAAGACAACAGATAAATATTTATTATTTTTTGAAAGAAAATTTCAATTTTACTGTACACCGGACTTTGTAAATTTCAAATACAACTCTTTATTTAAAACAAAATGAAATTGTGACCACAATATTGAGGCAGTTGCTATAATATTTTCGTTAATATCAGTTACCTAAATACTGTATATTTCGGCTATTAGCATAAAAAATTACAATTCTAAAGTTGACTTTTGGCCGTTTTTTAATGCCTTCTGGCCGTCTGTGTATTCTGATAATTCGCGCACTACTTGGTGGTGAGTATCCTAGCACACTGAGACGAATAATCGCAGCGTTAAATGCTATTCTAGTAGGTACAGAGGCGCTAACTCTTTTTTAATTAAGTATTAATTAGACCACTTCCACTCATATCTTATCGCGTTTAATTTAAATTAGCCCAAAATAGAGCTAAACAATTTTACTTATTTGGTAGTAATGCAATTTTAAGAAATAACGGGTTTTTTTATTTTATGTTCCCTAATAATATTTTAATCAATAATTGTGATTGAGCTCTGATACGATTAATGTTTGTGGGTAAATTTGAAAAGATCAACCGTTGATCTGTATGCACATACCTATACATATGGATATGTAGATATGTACATATTTAAGACCATTTACATACAAACTTGTCTATATTTCTATCATATCATTTCATATCCCTCTGCAGTACAAAAAAGCGCCTTGGTAAAAAAAATAAAATAAAATGTCTCAAAAATCTTCAAAGATTTGACAAACCTCAATATGAAGTGGTGGGTTTGAGACTAGTCATGTAAAAAAACGCTTATCCAAATAAATAAAAAAGAGAAAAACCGCCACGGTATATTACCTCTCAAATGTTTTACAGATATGCACCTGGATTAATCCCAGAGTAGGTAGAGAAGTCATATTTAATACAAAAGTCAAAATATTTTGATCTCTGCGGCGATAGCTCTGAAACCGGACAGAGGCTGATAGACTTAGATAGATTCTGCCCTCAACTCATCACGGTACCTCAGCTAGCCCCAGAGACTATAAATTTCAAAATAGATCCCGGGGGTAGGGCGTGTATGTGCTCCTCTTTTGGACATAATTGCCATATGCTCGTCTCTCTTCGACGTGAAACGCTCTCACACTACAGGAGGAGGTGTAATTATGTCTCCTTGGTGAAGTCATGGAAGCGAACATATGTCGCCTGACCAGATTCCTAGCTTATGTAAGTCACCTCTTAGCCTACAATAACCCGTCAAAAAGCCTGTAATGAATCATAGTTTTTCCTTATACCATGTTCTGACCGACATCGAAAACATGTTTTCGTTGCTGAACCTGGTTTTCAACCCAGAACTTGTGTTTTCGTCCATGTAAAACCGGTCAACCGAAAACCAGGTTTCGCTGAAATCTACTTGAAAACGATTATTCATCGAAGTGAAAGTCATATTTTATCATCTTTAATACACCATTTCGGATTTATTGTAAATTGGCAGGCAACAAGAAATGAAAGTAAAAGGTTGTTAATGAAACGAAAATGAAGGAAAAGTATTTTGGTTTTGTTTTTGTGTAGCAAAACTGTAAGCAAAGGATGTAGGAAATGTCAGCGGAGGCACTAACAACCGGTGTGAACCGGCTTCAGTCCATAATCCCAAAACTCGTTTTCAGTGTTTTCATTTTCATTGCCGGTTAGAACATGCTATTAGGGTGGTTTATGAGAAGTGGGCGCAACTCTTGTACGAAAAATCTTACATCACCATTCGAAAGTGCATTTTGAAGAATAAAAATAGTACTAGTAAAATAAGCGAAATAATTCCAATAGATTTTTAACCGACTTCCAAAAAGGAAGAGGTTATCAGTTCGTCGGAATATTTTTTTTTTATGTGTTACCGCATAACTGTAGACCACGTCAACCGATTTCGATAATTCTTTTTGCATCGGAAAGGTAGTGTCTCAGAGGTGGTCCCATACTAATCTGGTTTAGATCCGATCATTGAATCATGATATATATATATATATATATATATATATATATACAGTTGTCCACAAAATAATAGGAGTGGGATATTTTAACCTGTTTTGGCTATTTCTCTTTAGTTTATTTAATGTTTCGTATTTTTTTTTAAAAGCCTAGCTGGTAATACAACAAACACCATATAAATTTACATTTTCAGGTTTGTACAAAAATTATAAAAATTCTGCAAATTTTCACCAAAATTTCAAACTATTTAACCAGAATCTTTAGAAAATATGTTGGTATGCAGTTTTGTAGCCCATTCAATTCTAGTCTGAAGAAGTGCAAGTTTCAAGCTGCTAAAAAATTCCGTTGATTTTTG